AATAAACTCAATTAAAGCTGAAAAACAATGATGATCCTCTCCAGAGCACCCCTGGGATTCTGTTTAACTCTGTCTAGATTCTGATTGATCTGTTAATTTGGTTGTTAACTATTTTGAATATTGCCCCTGATTACAGACATATATGGACCTTTTTCTCTCCTCTGTTTGTATGAGAACATGGACTACAGGTATTTCTGAAGTTCATCAGGGTAGGAGGAACTGAGATGTAACAAGGAACACGGGATCTCACATAATCAATATCACATCTCTCTTTCCCATTCTGCATATAACCCCAGGCTAAAAGGGACGGGCTGCAGGATTTTCATGTCCCTCCACAATAGATTTCTTTTATAACTGTGTAGTAAGAATTATGAGCTATCATTGCCATTGGTCCTTCTTCACGAACATGGGAATTTTTGCAATCTAAGTCCTCTGGAATTGATTCTTTATTTACCAATGCAATTGAGAAAATCATCTCTCCCCATCAGAGTCTCTTTAGCTTTCCATGGTAAATAATCCAGCCTCTCCCTACGCCAAATCATAAACATACGTTGATAATTTCCAAAATTACGTATCCAATTTCATCTGCATTCCAAATTTGAGTCTATACATCATTTTCAACCTGTCAGTGATGGTTTCAGAAAGAGTACTGATGTGTTTTTTATTACATGAGCTACTGTGATGTATGTGTCTCAATATAAAACAAAACCAAGTTAATGGTGCATGTTTGGTGAACGTATACTGTTCCACCAGCTCTTAAGGATTCAAAATCAAAAATCCATTGTGGCCCTGAGCAATGTCATCTTTAGCCAAAGGGACACAATCAACACCAGGAAACCCTTTCAAGATTAAGTACATACTAATTCTCTTTATTTGGAGAGGAGAAAGCTCAGTATCAGCTTCTGAGAAAAGTTACAGAGTAACTGAGATGTACATAAGATTCTGAGTTGTACATAAGGATTTGAAGGAAGAAGCAAACAACAACAACAAAAAACCTCAGAGAGTTGAAAACAGACTATAGGATGACTAGCTGTTTCTGGCTTGCATGGAACTCTACAGGATTTAGTACTGGAAATCCCACATTCCAGGAACCCTTTTGGTCCCTAGATGATATCATTGTGTGCAGAAAGGAGTGAGATTTGATATGTGGAAAGGCACCAAATTAAGGTGAGCCTTAAAGGCCATACAGATGAATCTACCTGTGCTCAAGGCAGTGGTAGAAAGATGGGGCCCTAACATACTGAGAAAGCTTCTGTTATGACATTGAAGTGAAGAGATGAAACCTTACTCAAACAAATGCCCCTCAGTCTTAATTCACACCATCACGAAATGCTCCTTCCTCTCCTTTTTCTTAGACCAACTGTAGTGTGCATGTTGGAGGTGAAATGTATACCCGACAGTCTGTGGATAGGGAGGAATCTGATTTCAGTAGGGCCGGAGTGGGGCCTGAGATTCTGCAAGTCTGATGGCTGTCAGGCAATAGTACTGTTGCAACTTACAGGGATTCTTAAAGTAGCTAGACACCTTCTATCCCACTGGAAACTCCAGTCACCAGTTACTCTCCCCTCATCCATCTGTAGCATCTACCACTCCATTATCTCCCTTCTTTTACCTGGGGACTTAGCTTTTCCTTTCAGAATGATAGTTAAATTCCTAAATCCTGGCTCTTTTATTCATTAGCCCTGAATCCTTTGCAAGTGGTTTAACCACTTTGTGCCTTGGCTTCCTTATCTATGAAATGGGGATAATAACTTTTCCTACCTCATTAGTATCTTGTTAGCAGTTAAATGGGATACATATGTAAAGTGCTTAGCAGGCATGGAGTAAGATTTAAGTGAGGTTTATCTAGGGAATATTAGGGATACACTAAAGAACATACTAGGATTACATTACAAACTACCACAAACTGAGTGTATTTGTATTATCTTTTAATGGAATTTATTCTCTCAGTGCAGGAGGTTGGAACTTCAAAATCAAGATGCTGGTGACAGGTTGGTTATCTCTGGAAGCGTTGAGAGAGAATATGTTATGTTCCTTTCTCCGAGTTTCTGGAAGTTATCAGCAATCCTTGGTGTTCCTTAGCTTGTGGCTAGAACACTCCAATCCCTTCCTCTCCTGCAAATGATCTTTCCTATGTGTCTCCTCTTTTTCTTTGAAGCACACCAGTCATTTCAGCATCTTCCCCAATCAAGAATGATCTTGCCTTAATAAATTAGAGTCAGGTGTCACAACGTGATGGAATACACTCTGAGAAAGGCAACCTTAGGCAATTTCTTCACTGTGCAAATATTACAAGATAAGATTCTTGTGATGTCACTAGGTAATGAGTGTAATTTTATAAGACTACCATTCCATATGCAGCCTACTATTGAGCAAAATGTCTTTATGCAGCACATGACTGCATATCTGCAAAATTCTAAATTTCTGAATAAAATCACATTCTGCAGTTGAGATGCATATGAATTTTGGGAGCCCTACCCAACCCACTGTATAGAGTAATAATTATTTTCATTATTATTATTTTGCCATATTTGTAGCTATAAGATTTATTCTTTATCTATACTAAGATACTTATAATTTCTTGCAAAGTAGTCTTACTGAGGCTTGCCTCACTTCTTACTTGGAATTTTCTCTCACCTTAATAATGAACCTATGGGTAACCAGCAGTGTCCTCATCACCGAATAGAATAGCAACAAAGTGCTGATCTGATTTTATCTCCCTGTTGTTTCATAGATAAGAACCTTCCCCACCTTTGCACTCTCAAATCGTTCTCCAAGGCTCCTCCTCTGCTTTCTTACTGTATGTCTCTTTCATCTCCAAAACTGGTTCAATTTCCGTTGGACAACATCCTCTGAATTTCATTTTTGGTCTTCTTTTCCCATACTATGGCTCTGCAAGAGTGACTACAAGAGTGTAGGTAGTGACCTACACTCCAAGGCTCCTTGAAACTAGGTCCGTGGTAGTGGTCTCCGGTGGCATAAATGGGATAGAAGTCAGAGATACACATAGCATGCACTTGTCAATACTCATCACATGGTAAACCTAATGTATGTGCAGTTCACTTCCCCAAAATTGTAAACAAATGAATTCTAGCTAGTGCTAAATTAAGAGTGAAGTATACTGACATCAGCAATTTTGACATGCATCAAAAATAAGATGGATGCATATGTAAAATAAAACAAAAATTTAAAAATAAGACAGATGGATAGAAAGGTGAGTGGTTAAGCCTGCATAGTAAAACATTAACAATTATACAATCCACACAATGAGTAGAGGAATTTTCTTTGTACAGTTTTGTCAGCTTTGCTGTGTTCTGCAAGTTGTCATACTAACGAGCGAGGAGATATTGTCTCCTGGCCAGTCCTCTTTGCTGAACCCTGAACACAATAGCAATATCATCTTCAATGTCAGAGGCCTCTTTCATTTCGTATGATTGAGGCCCATCCATTTATTCAACAAACTTGATTTTGAGGACCTATTAGAGACCAAATACACAGTAGGTCCTAAAACTACAGAGATGGATTCTTTTTAAAACTCTGACCAAAAAGATTTTGAGTAAGATAGAAGAAAGAATCAAGGATGGTTCTCGTGAAATCAATTTAGTGGCCAAGTTGATGTTGGTGCCATTAGCTAGAACAGGAGAGACAGGTGAGGTGTTAGATTTAGGAACAAAGAAAGCAATCTCAAATTTGATTGAAAGTACCCTTGGTCATCCATGTGGAAGAATATACTAGTTAGAATTTTAGTTGTGTTTTATTTTGATTTATTGTGCCATGATGTATTGTGTTATTTGCAGTGCTAGGGATCTAACCAAGTTCTTGTGCATGCCAGGCAAGCCCTGTTCTACTGAGCTAAACCTCCAGCTCAGAATTCATAAGAGGAAACGTAGCAAGAGTAGGTAAAAAGAGAGAAAGTGAGTTTTAAAACTAGAATGGTAGGGAATCTCAATATTTAAGATACGAGCAGCAAAGGAGAGCCAGAAAAAAAAAGTTGAGAGTGGAAGTACAGAAAGATATGAAATGTATCAGAGGGTTTGTACCTTAGAGACTGCACTTTTGATCTATAGAAAACTTTGACTTCAAATGGTCACTCTGAACCATTGTTAAGCAACGCCTGAGTCACTGTTTTTTTTTTTTTTAAATTTAGACTAACAAATCTAAGTAGCCCACTGACACTCTCTTCTAGAGGCCAAACACTGACTGCTGTGCAGCCCCACTTTACATGCCTGACAAGCAAGTATGGACTCTTAGTTTCTGTGCCCATGTTTTCACTTGTGTTGATGTTCACACTAGCACTTTTAATTGTCGTGGGCAAAGGAGCAAAACTAAAGGGGAAGGGGAGGAGACACTTAAAATGATAGATAAATAAAGGTCTTGCAATATTTCAAACACAGAAAAAAGAAGGGTTGCTTGAATCATCTTGGGGAACACAGAAATCTAAATGTGTTCAATTCAAAAGAACTTAATGGGCTGGGGATTTAGCTCAGCTGTACGGTGTCCTGCCTTGCAAGTGCAAGGACCTGAGTTCAATCCCGGGTACCAAAAAAACCAAAAACCAAAACAAAATAACTTGAAACTTTAGCAATTGGTACAAAATTCACACTGTGAACAGCTATTTACTTACACTGAAGCATCATCTGTTACATTCATTTAAAGTCATGGTTTTAAGATTCAACAAAAATATTGGTGTATTCAGTTATGTTTGATTTGAAGTTTTGCTATTATTGCTGTTGACCCATAATTTCATAAAAGATATAAGCAGCATGAGTTTAGACATCTGGAAATCAATCCTAGTGACCTATGAGAAGTTTTTCCATTAAAATAGATTTGTGTCTCTCCAGCGAAAGTGTCTTTCTCACAACCTGTTTTCTGATATTTCTGAAACCTGTTAATGAACTTGAATTTGAAACTGTCTGTATTTCTACGGCTATGTGTGTACTTCGAAAGCCTGATGGGCAGTATTTTCAAGACACTCATTGTTGCCTTCTTTTCCTTCTTAGATAAAGTTATCTGACTTTGGTTTCTGTGCTCAAGTTTCCAAAGAGGTGCCAAAGAGGAAATCACTGGTGGGCACCCCCTACTGGATGGCACCTGAGGTGATTTCTAGGTTGCCTTATGGGACAGAGGTAAGTGGTGTCAGCCATGGTGGAGAGTGGCTGGGCCTGGACAGTGAGAGCAGTGGATCTCAGACAGTCGGTGACCACAGATCAGGACAATGACTTTTGGCTCCATATTTTGACCTTTATCACTAACTTGCAGCAGAGCAGGTGGCAGCAGAAAGAATTCTGACAACCACTGAGGACATCAGCACAGTGTTCACCCAGTCCTTCTATTGCGGCATTGCCATGGATGCTGAGGTGAGTGGGAGACATTCAGACTCTCCTCCCACTCTCAGTGGCCACATAAAGCAAGGCAATGAGACTTGGGTGTAGCTAGAGATGTGCAGATGAACAAGGACTTTGCAGAGAAAGGGTAGGGGATCAGAGGAAGCACCACAAAACAAAGATAGTATTGAATAACCAGTAGTGTGTTCCTGTAGAAAAATAATCAGATGCTAATCTAACATATTCAGCAACATGGCAAAACTTCTCTTTCCCCTAGAAAGGAGAGAATCACTCATAAACTCTCAAAGGACCAGGCTGAGGACGTGAAATGTAGGAGCAGAGGATGTGGAGGAAAGTCCTCCTAGGGAGGAAACAGTGCACAATGGGCCACATTAACATAGAGGCCTCGGAGTTGGAGTTCATTGTGGCTAAGCATAGTATTTACAAATATTATGGTGCAAATGGTGATTCTGGAGGAGGAAAAAGCTGGAAAGAAGAGATGTGGGCCAGTGGGTGAATGATGTGCCTAAGTTAGGGCGGACTCTGCTCCTTCCCTTCTCTGTGTGACCTCAGATGAACCCTCAACTTCTTTTTCTCACTGTGGTCTCAGGAGATGAATTCTCAGTGAAGGTCACTGCAAAGGGTGTAACAGCAGTGCAGCGACCAGATAAGAGGCATAATGAGGCCATGACAGGAAGTAACTAGAATGGGAATTTATAGCATTGCTGTGGCTTCTCAGTGTCCTGCCATCACATTTTCTACACAGAAGAAATTACTTGTCATCTCTTCCTTTTCTTTTCTCCATTCTCTGAAAATGGTTTATATAAAGCAAGCTTTGTGCATGCTGCTTCAGAGTGATAAAACATAAGGAGAAAACTCCAAAGTAGGTGAAGAAAGAACTATTTTTAAAAATCAAATTAGTAAGAGGAATCAGGATATATTCTACATTGTGCAGTATAGCTCTTTGCGGTTTATGACTATGTTAAATAGTTTTTATGATTTAAATGCATCATTCTATTTTCATCACAGAAAAGTCTGGCTGTTTTTCATCTATGCTGATAGACAGTTAACTACAAAAGATAACAGGATAAAAATTAAAGTTCTACATCTCACAATGTTAAGATAATCGTTTATACCTAATTGGAAGAAACCTCACTGGAATGGTACTTAAACAGCAAACAAAAACGATTAGCAAAAACTCAGTAATTCAATAGTTCAGCCTGTTTTGTAAATATTGAAAGACTATAGATATCATATTGCTTTATGACTGAGTGTGAATCATTAGGTTTCCTTGGAAGCACCCAAGATTTCAGGGTATTCTCCCTGCCTGATATAACCAGTGGATATGTGCCTAACAGGTGGATATCTGGTCCCTTGGAATCATGGTGATAGAGATGATTGATGGTGAGCCCCCTTATTTCAATGAGCCTCCTCTCCAGGCGATGAGGAGGATCCGGGACAGTTTACCTCCAAGAGTGAAGGATCTACATAAGGTGAGAGTATTGCTATATCCAAAATATGTTGTATTGCTATATTCAAAACAGTTACTGGATCTTTCAGCCTCTCTGTGGTTTGAAAGATTGCCATATCACATCCGGTGGGTAACAGACCCTGGTGTAAGGGCACACAGATTTCAGAATTAGTTACTTAGTTTCCAATCTGTCCTTCTCTTCATTACCTGGACTACAGAGTCATCCTCTCTGACTTCAGAGTTCATTTGATAAATGAGGTATGATCATCTCCTCTCTCAAAGGCTACTTAGAAGAGTGATTCAGCTCAGCACTTAGTCAAGGAGTACTCCTTACCTCCTGGGGGCATGAATCACCAGGGATACTGCAGCACAGGACTCCAGATTAGGAGAGGGCATTGAGAGCTGGTGTAGCTTGGAGAGTGAAGGAAGCTCTTCCTGAAAGATCACCTGAGCTGGACCTGAATGGGAAGAAGGAAAAAGCCATGTAAAGATCCTCACAGAAGGAACCTCAAGCCCAAGGACCTAAAGCCCAGAAAGTAGAAGCCTCAAGTAGCTGCAGCAACATGAGCAAGAAGACAGGGTAGGTGGGCAGGGCCTGGATCATGGAAGGAGTGACAGGAAACTTAGTGTAGAAGGGGCTACATAGGGTCTTTCCTGATGTCCAAGATTTGCTTGTTAGAACCAAGCTCAGGAAAAAGTGATGGTAAGTCCAAAAATCATCACTTTTGGGGCTGTCACCGGGCCTGCAGGACTTGTTCAGAAAGGCCATTTTCATTGGATCCTTCTATAATTAATGATCCAGCCATACCTCCCCTCCCATTTTTTTCAAGACCATAATCAGGAACATGAGGCTGGCTTTTAGGGGAGATTAGTTTATAATGATAGTGTTTCCTCTTTTCTGTCCCCTATCTTAGGGAAGAGCCTCAGTTGAATTATTCATGTAGCTTGAGTGGGCCTGTGAAAAAGAAAAAAGGAAATTACTTGAACTGAATAGGAGATTGAAACATTTATTGGGTTTGATTAAGCTTAGATAATAAAGTGACTAAAGTGATATTATATGAAAATAATACCATACCAAATAGAAATGAATACTCATGCTCATCAAAGCCATATACAAGTCTGTCTTTAATCCTAATGGTAAAAACCTGGAAAGCATTCAACATTGTTTCCCAAATGGGTAAATAATGTGTGGTGTGATTGGACATGAATGCTACACAGCAAGGGTAAAAAGGAAACTTTTATCACACACAGCAGGACTGAATCTCATCGACACCATGTCAAGAGAAAGCAGCCAGACAAGGCAGAGTTCACAGAAGATGATTGTATTTCTACAAAGTAAAAGAGCAAGCAAAGCTGATTTATACTGTCAGAAGTCAGGGGAGTGGTGACCTTCTGCAGAGGGATGGGCATTGTCAGAGAGGGGACCAAAGGTGGCCTCCAAGTGTGATAGAAATATTTTAGATCTTGACAGGGGTGGAAAGTAAATATGTGTATGTAAAGATCCACTGATCCATTCACTTAATATGTATGCACATGAATGTAGTTAAGATAGAGTCAAAAATAATTTATAAGAAATTAAAGGGAAAGCCCTATATGTCAGACTTACAGAAGCTTGTTTCCCCTCAAGAAAGGGGAAACCATAGAGCCTAGATTATAGTACTTCCTTAAAGAAAAGAAACTGTAGGGCTGGGGATTTAGCTCAGTGGTTCGGTGGCCTGCCCTGCAAGCGCAAGGACCTGAGTTCAATCCCTGGTACCAAAAAAAAAAAAAAAAAAAAAGAAGAAATGAAACTGTTCTTCTTTTTTATTGTTTCATTACATGTGTGGCCAACACTTTGTGTACCCATCACTTCATAATAGTTGCTGTTACCACTATTAGTACCATTACTAGTTTATTTAGTAAATAAATTTTCATTCTTAGTTGCACCATCACTTACCCCTGTTATTTAATACTTGAAGACAGTAAGAAAATCGTCACATGTTAATAAAACTACTTCCTATTTTGCTTCCCCAATATCTTTCTCCTTAAGGTGACTTTCTAGAAGTTGTCCATAAGATTTACTGGAAAAGCACTGTGGTGACTGGGCTAGGTTTTTGCATTGGTCCTTAGGATGCTATCTGTGTTTTCACAGGTTTCTTCAGTGCTTCGGGGATTCCTAGACCTGATGTTGGTAAGGGAGCCCTCTCAAAGAGCCACTGCCCAGGAACTCCTTGGACATCCATTCTTAAAATTAGCAGGTCCACCATCTTGCATCGTTCCCCTCATGAGACAATACAGACATCACTGAACAAAGGATTTCTGTAGGTGACAAAGCTAGGTAAAGACATGAAAATAATTCAGGAGAACACGAGGAAAACCACAGAACATGCAAAAGGCCTGTGCATTCTAGACCAGCTGACTGGTGGGACAGTGTGATGACCGGCAGGGTTCGACAGACCAGGGCATCTTCTTGTGTCTTAATAGGCATCTCTCCACTGACAGCTGGCATGGTCATTTGGAGCATGGCTTTAATAGGTCATTGTTATATTTTCAGCCCTTCATCCAGCAAATCAGAAGGACTCAGTACAAACTCCGTTATGATATATCCTAGCCACATGCAGGGTACCACATAGGATTTTCTATATTGAAAGAATACTTTTCTGGCAAAAAAAAAGAAAGAAAGGAAAACAAAAAAGCACTTTTTTCTTAATGGTAGCAGTGTAATGTATTTTGCAATGAATTTGTAATTTTTCTGTACGATAGTTTTGATAATTTATAGTACTTTGATGTCACGTAGCCATTGTATCAGTTGAGGTAATACTTGTTTACTAGCAGGAGTTTGAACAAAGCTTTTCCTACTTTTTTATCCCTTTCAGAAAAACCAACGATTCTTTAGGAACTTTGAATACTGAAGGACTCTCAATCACCGTCAGCTTTAGTAGAATACCTTTCTTATCTTAATAAGTGTCTTATGTGATGGAAGAATTAAGAGTGATGGTGATGGTGTGCATGTTTCATTTATCCAACCAAAAGCAATGAAACAAAATTTGAGCCACAGTATGCCACCAAACTATTTCTCGGGATAAAGCTAAATATTTTGAAAAATCGTATTTTCCTTCAAGGCTTCTAATGGAAAATCACTTTTTGCACACCAGGATGTTATCCTGTCCACCCTAGAATGGGCACTACATCCCTTAGTGGCCAAATTTCCCTCCCAGGGAACAATTTTCAGTGCTAGAATCATTGGACCCAGTTCCCCAAATTGAATGTTTCATTGAGACCTTGGGAACTCCAGGCTCACCAAGAGAGAGAAGAGTGAACAAGGCAAGATGTTTGGTTCTGTTTGTCACTGTTTTTTAAACTCTGTATGCTAGCACACCAAACTCTTGTCTGTATTTACCTTCATACCACAGTATTATGTGTCGTGCTGGAAGTCTGAATTGACGCTAGAGGGTGAATTAGCAAGGGATTTTTTTTTTCCCCAGGTATGATCTGATTTCAGTTTGTGAACATGTTATAATGTGTTTCCGGCATAAGAGAGTTGTGCTGCTGTCTAGATCTTCTTGAATGTTGATAAAAATGAATGACTACTACAATACATTTTGTGTTGCTTGTTGGATGAATTTGCATGTTAACTGTAGGTCAATATAGATTTGCCTTTAAAACTCTGGAGGAGCTACATAGTCATCATTAGTTTTATTAATTATGCATCAGACAAAAGCCATTTGTTACCAAACTGGAAAACCAGAGGCTTTTCTTAATAACTTCATATACTGTAACAAGTATGAATTTAAATTTGTGAAAATTCTCTGGTTGCTCTAAGCATAATTAAGAATTTTGTAATTAATAGGTTGCTAATTATTTATTATAGTTAAAAGGATAAAAGGCATAAAATGACCTTTGACTGATTAGATTTTCAGTTTTCCCCAAAACTGGAAATGCACCATACATAAGATTTATAATTTTGTTTCATAAAACACAGCAAATCAATGTTTTATGTAAAATATTAAAGCATTAATATAAATATGTGAGAATAAAAGCAATCTAAATCAAAAAATGGCAGTTCTAAAAGTTCATGAAACATTTGTCTTAATTTAACAGCACTATGTAGAAGTAGAAAGAAAATACTTTTTAACCAGGACAGACACTAAAATCATTGCAGAAAATAGTGGATTTTGGATTCAAACATTGTGGACAGTGCAATGGAAATTTTTTCTGTAATTTTCTTATCATTGGGTATTTTTTAAAGTATATTCATTGAGTTAACTGAAATTAACTCTCGTTTAAAAGGATCTGTGAGCACTATTAGCAGAAACTGCACTTGCAAATAAAAATAAACATTTGCCTTTTCTCCCATTGTTATTGTAAACTCCTGATTTCCCAAATTTGTTTTATTGAGTAACCAAGAATGTAAATGAGTTGGTTTAAAGTTATGTATAACATCATTATGACATGAGCTGAAGACAAACATTGTTGACTCCAGAAGTTACCAATAATGTAAATTTGTGATGTAGATACCACTACTGAGAAAAAGTTATTAAATTCTAGATGTCCAAGTTCATGTTAAACCTGACTCAGAGCTAAAGAGCCACTCCACCTCTCTGCTTCAAAGATGCTGGACTAATTTGTGGGCTTTACCAATAAAAGACATGAAAAGGACTCGGATTAAGGAAGGGAGTGAGAGCTGTCAGCGTGGAAGAGTGACAAGTCCTCTCCTCCACTTTGGGTGTGAAGCGAGACATTAACATTGATCCTGTGCAGTTAAAGGGAATAGTTATGTGTAAAGAGCACAATTTTTTTTCTGGAAATTTTGAAAATTGAAATCCCTCAGGAAGTAGCCTGTGATAACAGGAGGACAGAGGCCACTGTATATCCTGTGCCAAGGAAGAGGAAGATGGAGGCAACCTTCCCCAGATCAATTCCTGGTCTGTGGTGGGATGAAGGAAAACATCCAATTCTCTTGACTGTGTTTGATGATGCATATAGGAGAAACAGAGAATATATCAAACCACTTAATTAATGAGATGTCCAACTCCAGAGTGCATTGGAGGCCTGCACCATGGGAGAATGATGGGGAGATATGGCTGAGTAGAGCTGAAACTCTGGAATCCACATATATCCATCAGCAGTTCCCAAACTTTTTTTCGCCAGGAATTTGTTTCACAAAGACCATTTGTGGCAGGGGCTCAGGGAAATGCTTTTGTGATAATTCAAAGGAGCATGCAACTTGCATTGCACAGGTCACAGTAGTGTTAGCACTCTTATGAGAATTTAATGCCAGTGCTGATTTGACGACAGGTGGAGCTCATTCAATAATGCATTGAGTAAACTATAAAAACAAGTAAACTCTAGCTCACCCACTGCTTACTTCCTGCTGTGCAGCCCAGTTCCTAACAAGCCTCAGACCAGTACTGGTCCATGGTCCATGCTGCAGGGATTGGAGAACCCTGATACACACCAAGACCATTCTATACAGCAGAGGTAGGTGGTAGTTATCATGTGAAATCAAAATGAGGTTGAGACATCTCTATTTTATTCCAGTAGCATCTACAACCAGCTTTCCAGAACTTCCCTTCCCTAGACTTGGGCCATTGTGTCTACATGAAAGTCCGTGATTTAAGGAAGCTTAGAAGGAAGAAGAGAACATAATATATCCTGCCACTATCTGCTGCTACCTCTTACTCTTCTACAAGTTCAGCTGGAGCAAAGGAAAGGTGTGCTATTTTTGAACTAGAAGGAGATAGATTTTTTAAACTAGATTAGATAAATGGAATCAAACCCAGTTATGGTTGTATCCCTATTATCCACTGGAAAGAATACATTCAGTAGCAATTACTGGAGAAACAAAATCATTCCATGAAGTTAACAACTCAATGAGTTCAGACTCTTTGGTCAAACCAATCAAAGGAACAGAGCTGTGTCATCAAAGAAATTGTAATGAGATTCCAGGAAGAGGAAAGAAAGATCAGTTTGGTCTGAAGCAGAGGCAAAATGCACAAGCAGAAGAAATTTTGTGAAAATGATATCGTTACCAGCTACTTAGTCTATATGCTTAGGTTAATTTGCTCATTGCTGACCAAATTAAGGATGGCCATTTATATTTGTAAAAAGGAAAAAGAATTTATTTGAAACTATATTCAGAGATATAAAGGGCCTCACCGCCCGTATCAGTATCACCAACTGCCTGAGTACAGTGTGTCAGAGGTCAGGTCAAGGGCCAGTGAGAGAGAGGATACATGAAGACAGTAGGCTTGGCCAGGCTTGCTTCAACACTCCTAGACCCTGCCATCTCCCTCCCTTTCCTGTGGAAATGAAACTGGATTCTGATCTCCTGGTGCTACCGTGTATATTCTATTCATTCATCTGGGCTGATCAGAGGTGGGAGTTTAGCCCCTAGGCCTAGGGAAGTTTGAAAAACAACTTGTCTCCAAATGGGAAAAAAAAAAACTTTTAAACTTCCATGCTGGTTGCAACATAATACAGAAGAAATTCACATATGAAATTTTTGTGCAGGAAAGTTTATCAGCATGTGCCTTGAAATGTATGCATTTTGAGTTTATGTTTTCTTAGTGTAGGTTTGGCCAAAAGACAAACCTAAGACCAAGACTTTTCAAGAAATAGTACATGATCATGACAAAGTGAAGAAAGGAGGCAAAAAAGTGTTTTAGTGAATCGATGACCACTGCAGTCACTGTGCTGAGTCCCACTGGAGACTTTCTGAGAGCCACTTCAGAATTGTCCTTCTAGGGTGAGGATGCTGAGATATTGATTCACCAGCTTTATGGCTCACTGATTGTGAGTTATTCCTGAGGTATCAGCTCCCAGAACTCTCAGCTTGGCCTGTAGGTAGGTACAGGAAGCTATTGGAAGTATCAGCAAATGCCACTCAGGAAGATCAAAGGGACCTAAGTGGGACTCTAGCAGCATCTCCTCCATAAGTAAACTGTCTTCATTACTTTTCTCATTGTTGGGACAAAGTACCCAACACTCACAAGTTGAAGGAAGAAAAGTTTATTTTAGCTCACAGTTTATAGAGGTTTCAATCCATGTACAGCTGGCTACAAGGAAGGGTGACATGGTAGAGAGGTATGGCAGAGGCGAAACAGTCCATGGTATGGCAGGCAGGAAACAGCAAGCAGCAAGCATCCTTCTCTGTTTTATTCCATTCAGGCTACAAATCCATTGGTTGGTGCCACCCACACCCAGAGTGGGCCTTCCCATTATCCATACCCAGAACCAATTAATGGACTAATTTCATTATAACACTTCCTTAATCTATATTCACATATCCAAGATCCAGCTTCCTCTAATAAGCCCCACCTATGAGCACATGAGGCTTTGGGGAAAAATCTAAATACAAGCCATGACAGATCTAATGAAGGACGAATAGAGAACTTGAGAAACTCTATGGGTTGCTGGTTCTAGATCAAAATAGGCTGTTTTAAATGCAAAAAGATTCCTTATTCTAAAAAGTTTACTCAAGCGCCAAACCCTAGCCCTGTGATTAGCAGTTTTTAAAACTTTAAACTAGAAAGGACTACAGGACTTTTTATGACCCACTTTAAGTAAGATAATCAAGGCCCCAAAGCAAGGCACATTAATCATAATACCTATGTATACTATACACTTATACACACACACACACACACACACACACACACACACACGCAAAATATAGCCCCTGAAGG